TTGTTCAAATTAAAGGATATTTGTTCACGTCCTTTAGTAAGCGTTGAAAGGAATTCATATGTATACCTGACATAGGTGGGAGCGCATTTGGTCATGAAATTCTCGAGACCCACGTTCCTTAGCAAGAGCCGCACTCCTTCCTCCATCTCTAGCTCTTGTAGAGCTTCTAAGTCAAAGAACTTGGTGCATTGCACCGTTCGTCGGGGTTGTTGAAGCTTAGTCCATACGCCCTTCTCCTTGGAATGCAACCGAACACCCATGAAACCATCCCCTTGAGGCAATGGAGGTGCCTCCCCTTGACTTGAAGAAGCCCCTTGCCTCTTGCCCCTTGAGGGTCTTGATGGAGATGATTCTTTAGACCTCTTGTTGTCTCTACCCATGGCTATAAAAAGGAATATGTTCACTTGCACCTTCACCTTCACCTTCAATGAAAATAAATTAAGCTTGCAATTCCACACAACCAACTCAATTTCACAATTGAAATCAAGAAAAATGGTAAACCTTAGGTGAAATTGTGATGGGAATTGAGAATTTGATGAAAGATGAAGATTTGGGAAAGGGAAATTGGTAGGAATTTGGTATAATTGGAGTAGGGGAATGAATGAGTAGAGAGAAGGAGAAGAAAAGGAGTAAGGGTTTATGTGAATTGGGGGATAATGAAGTTGGAGTTTGGAAAAGGGGAAATAAGGGGAAAAAAAAAAAAATCGGGGAGAGCTGTAGGAGCCGCTGGTAGCGGCTTGAGGCCCGCTGCCAGCGGCTCTGGCAGATTTTGGTGAATTTTTTTTTTTTTTTTTTTTTTTTTTTTTTTTTTTTTTTTTTTTTTTGTTTTTATTTTTTTTTTTTTTTTTTTTTTTTTTTTTTTTTTTTTTTTTTATTTTTTTTTTTTAACGTAGAGGGGGGCCCGCTGGCAGCGGCTCAGGAGCAGCTACCAGCGGCTGGGACAGAAACAAAGGGGTTGGGCTGCAAGAAGACCCGCTGGTAGCGGCTGCAGAGCAGCTGCCAGCGGCTTCTGCAGGGAAGGCCCCTTTGTTTCTGTTTTGCTCTGTTTTTGCTGCGTTTCGCGCATAAAAATTGCTCCCAAGGCCTCCACCTACACAAAAACAATAAAAACACTCTTCACATCACACGAAAAAAATAAAACTAAACTACGAAAAGTAATGGGGAAGAGTTTTCGATCGGGTTGCCTCCCGATTAGCGCCTTTGTTTTACGTCGTTGGCTCGACGCGGCTCATCCCACTTCGCTACTCCATTGATGGCTCGTAGAGATCGATGCACTCCACGTTCTCGGTTTTGAAACCCTCGAAGTAGGGTTTGAGCCTTTGGCCATTGACTTTGAAAATCTTATCGGTCTCGAGGCTTTGAATTTCAACTGCTCCATGCGGATATACATTCACCACTTGAAAAGGGCCCTCCCAACGGGACCGAAGTTTTCCCGGAAATAATCTAAGTCGGGATTGATATAGGAGTACTTTGTCACCGACTTTAAACTCCTTCCGCGTGATCATTCGATCATGCCATAGCTTGGTCTTTGCTTTATAAATATCTGCATTCTCATAGGACTCAAGCCGGATCTCCTCTAGTTCTTGGAGTTGCAATTTCCGATGTTCACCTGCTTCATCCATTTGCATGTTGAATGACTTAACCGCCCAATATGCTTTATGCTCAAGCTCAACCGGTAGATGGCACGGTTTTCCGAAGACAAGGCGGTAAGGGGACATCCCGATAGGTGTTTTGTATGCGGTGCGGTACGCCCATAGAGCATCCTCCAACCTCAAACTCCAATCCTTCCTATCCGGATTCACCGTTTTCTGCAGAATTGACTTCACCTCTCTATTGGACACCTCGGCTTGCCCATTGGTTTGTGGGTGATAAGCCGTGGAGATTTTGTGGTGAACAGAGTACTTCCTCAACAAAGCACTCACTGTACGGTTGCAAAAGTGTGTTCCACGGTCACTTATCAACGCCCTTGGGATTCCAAACCTAGAAAATATGTAAGCTTTGATAAAACCTGAAACCACTTTAGAGTCATCAGTCCTAGTGGGTATTGCTTCCACCCACTTCGACACATAATCACAAGCAAGAAGTATATAAGTAAAACCGTAAGAAATAGGGAATGGTCCCATGAAATCTATACCCCAAACATCGAATATTTCACAATATAGAAGAGAGGATTGGGGCATTTCACTTTTCTGGGAAATGTTACCTACTCTCTGGCAATTATCACAGGATTTACAAAATCCATAGGAATCTCGAAACAAACTTGGCCAGTAAAAACCACAGTCGAGAACCTTCCTTGCTGTGCGTTTGGCTCCAAAGTGTCCTCCACAAGCATGAGAATGACAGAAGGTGAGAATGGGGATCACCTCATTTTCGGGAATGCATCTGCGAATGATTTGATCGGAGCAGAACTTCCATAAGTATGGATCATCCCATGCATAGTACTTCGCATCAGTTCGAAGCTTGTCCTTTTGAGACTTTGTGAAACCTGGAGGAAACTGTTGAGAAACCAGAAAATTCACAATGTTAGCAAACCAAGGGCGCAAAACCTTAAGAGCAAATAGAGATTCATCCGGAAATTCTCCTAGGATTTGATATTGGAATGATGGTTGATCAACAATATGGGTCAAACGACTCAAATGATCAGCAACTAGATTTTCCGCGCCTATCTTGTCCTTGATTTCTAACTCAAACTCACATAAGAGCAGAATCCATCTTATTAGTCTTGGTTTGGCCTCTTTCTTCGTCATCAAGTGGCGAAGAGCTGCATGATCAGTGAAAACAATTACTTTAGTACCAAGCAAATAAGATCGAAACTTTTCTAGAGCAAATACTACAGCTAACAACTCTTTTTCTGTGGTAGTGTAGTTTCGTTGGGCTGAATTGAGGGTCATTGAGGCATAATAGATCACATGCGATGCCCTCCCTACTTTCTGGCCTAAAACAGCTCCAACTGCATAATCACTCGCATCACACATTATCTCAAATGGTCGAGACCAATCTGGGGCTTGAATGATAGGGGCAGAAATGAGCTTAGCCTTCAATTCGTCGAAAGCCTTCTTGCAATCATCATCAAAGTGGAATTTCACATCTTTCTGCAGCAATTTGCACATAGCATTTGCAAGCTTTGAGAATCCCTCAATGAACCTACGATAGAAACCTGCATGGCCAAGAAAAGAACGCACTTCACGCACATTAGTAGGATAAGGGAGAGACTGAATAGTGTCAATCTTAGCCTTATCAACCTCAATACCTCTAGAAGAAACTACATGACCTAACACAATGCCCTGTTGGACCATAAAATGACATTTCTCAGAATTCAAGACAAGGTTAGAGTCAATACATCTTTTGAGGACCATAGATAAGTGATGCAAGCATTTATCAAAAGAATCACCATACACAGTGAAATCATCCATAAATACCTCCATGAAATGCTCAACAAACTCAGAAAAGATGCTCATCATGCATCTCTGAAAGGTTGCAGGTGCATTACATAGGCCAAAAGGCATACGGCGATAAGCAAATGTGCCAAAAGGACATGTAAAAGTTGTCTTTTCCTGATCTTCAGGTGCAATGGGCACTTGAAAGTACCCAGAATACCCATCAAGGAAACAGTAATAGGATTTCCCTGCAAGTCTTTCAATCATTTGGTCAATAAAAGGTAAAGGGAAATGGTCTTTCCTAGTTACTGCATTCAACCTACGATAATCAATGCAAACTCGCCAACCATTTTGAACTCTAGTAGGAACCATTTCACCCTGTTGATTTTCTACCACAGTCACCCCACTTTTCTTAGGAACCACCTGCGTAGGACTGACCCATTTACTATCAGATATAGGAAATATCATTCCTACTTGCAATAATTTTATGATCTCCTTCTTTACCACGTCCATCATGGGGGGATTTAGGCGACGCTGAGGTTGCCTCACAGGTTTGGCATCATCTTCTAACAGAATACGATGCATGCAAGTGGATGGACTTATTCCCTTAATGTCTGCAATGGTCCATCCAATAGCTAACTTGTGCTCTTTCAGCACTGTCACCAACTTGTCCTCTTGCTCCTTGGTCAATTTGCTTGAAATTATAACAGGTAAAGTATCGTTCTGACCAAGGAACACATATTTCAAATGATCAGGCAGTGGTTTTAGCTCCACCTGGGGTGCCTGCAAAACAGAAGGTAAGAGTTTATCAGTAGGCACTGTCAATGGGGTAGGTGTCGAACCTGGTGGTCTAAGTGGAAGCTTGGAATGACCATTCAACTCTGCTACCATCATCTGCACACTATTAGGCAAAGGAATATCCAAACAATCAGCAGATAAATCATTAGAAATGGAAGTGAGGAGCGCATCCTCGCCCTCAACATTGAAGACATCCTGCACTATAGGATCAATGATATCAATGGAACACAAAGAATGAGTGTCAACAGGGTATTTCATGGAATCATAGATGTTATACACAATTTCTTGTCCATCAAACTCCATAGTCAAAGAACCAGTAAAAACATCAATTTTAGTCCTAGCAGTTTTCAAGAAAGGTCTTCCTAACAAGATGGGTACTGCTTGTCTATCATGTTCCATATCAAGCACATAAAAATCAGCAGGAAAAATTAGTTCATCAACTTTCACAAGCACATCTTCCACTACTCCCTTAGGATAAACATTTGATCTATCAGCTAATTGAATCACTACCCCGGTGTCATGTAAGGGTCCAAGTTCCAAAGATTTGAACAGTGAATATGGAATAACATTAATTGATGCACCCAAATCCAACATTGCTCTATGAAAAGTGGTGTCCCCTATTGTAACTGGAACAGTAAACATACCAGGGTCACTGCATTTTTCAGGAAGTTTCTTTTGGAAAACTGCAGAAATATGAGCACTGACTTTCACTTTTTCCTTCCCTCCTAACCTGTGCTTCCTCTTAATAGTACAAAGTTCTTTCAAAAATTTAGCGAATCGAGGAACACTCTTTATTAAATTCAAAAGGGGAATGTTTACCTCACACTTGCTGAAAGTTTCATAGATATCTTTGTCCTTCTCATACCTCTTCGTTTCTTTCAAAGCTTCAGGAAAAGGTGGTGTGGGTTCATAAGATGGAAAAGTGGGAGGATTTGCTACAGCTTCATGTTCCTCTTCCTTCTCCTCAGCTCCAATCAACTCTTCAGCCCTCTTAGTTGCAATTTCAGTCTCTTTCAGCTCCTTGCCATTTCTCAATGTAATAGCGTTGGCTTGTTGCTTAGGATTCAACTCCGTTTGAGATGGAAGTTTTCCCGAATCCTTAGCTTCAAGTCTGCTCACTGCACTTGAAATTTGACTCACTTGACTTTCCAAATTCTGAATACTGGATTTGGTCTCTTGCTGGAATTGCACCATGTTTTGCTGCATAGTAGAAACATTAGAAGTTAGTGATCTAATCATTTCATCAGTTGACATATTACTCGAATTTGAGCTTTGGCCCTGAGGTTTGGCTAATGGTGCCCTATATTGCTGATATTGCTGCTGGCCTTGAGCATTTTGCTGTTGTTGTTGGTTCCCCTGGGAATTCCCATATCTCAAATTTGGATGATCCCTCCATCCTGGATTGTATGTATTCGAATATGGATCATATCTTCTCTGAGGACCTTGCCCTTGGAAACCCATTGCATTGGCCTGCTCATTCTGTTCCTCTTGTAATTGAGGACATGCATCAGTGGGATGTCCTGTGGAGGTGCATAAACCACAAGCATTCAGTTGCTGTGGATTCCTTGAGTTCACCATGAACTCACGCATCATAGAAGTCAAATCAGCTACTTGACTCTCTAACTCAGTTGTATTTGAATTTGCTGCATTCACCCGGCGCGTGGGGGTTCTCTGACTGAACTGCCTAGAATTCTCTGCTAGCTCTGCAATCAGCCTAGTTGCATCTCCTGGAGTCTTATTCACTAGCCCTCCACCACTTGCTGCATTCACCATCCTCAAATCATCATCTGTTAGACCTCCATAGAAGTATAGGATGAGGTCTTGATCGGAATACCCATGGTACGGACAACTAGCACACAATCTCTTGAATCTCTCCCAATACTCATACAAGGACTCATCTTCCTTCTGATCCACATTGCTGATAGCTTTCTTAAGGCTTGCAGAAATAGTGGCTGGGTAATACTTCTCTAAGAAACACTTCTTCAAACCTGCCCAATTTGTTATGCTCCCTGGGGGAAGATAGTAAAACCAATCCTTCGCTGCATCTTTGAGAGAAAAAGGAAATGCTCTCAACTGAATTTGCTCATCAGTCATCCCAATCGGTTTCATGCTAGTACATACCACATGAAATTCTGCCAGATGTTTATTTGGATCTTCACCCTTCATGCCATGGAATGCCGGCAATAGATGAATTAGACCAGATTTGATCTCAACATTAGCACCTTCCTCCAACTGCTGATATGCGATGCACAACGGCTGTTGGTTCAAGTTAGGAGCTGTTAGCTCTCTCAGTGTTCGATTTTCTGCCATCACTTCCTCTTCTTGAATGTTGAAGATGTATGTTGATTCACTGGGGTTTGTTCTTGCCTCTCTTCGCGACCTGGAAATATTTCTTTCAATTTCTGGATCAAACTGCAAAACTTCTTTGTTAGCAGAACGGGTACTTATCATACCCTAGCGAACAAACAAAGAAAAAAATAGCTAAGAACAATCCTAAAATAAATTCTACTAAGATAAACAATTAAACGGTAACGCCTAGTTCCCCGGCAACGGCGCCAAAATTTGGTGTGCCTCAGTCGTATGCAACCAAAAATATCACAACTAAGCTAACTGCAAATAAACGTAGTTAGGGAAGTCGAGTTCGAATCCACAGGGAAAAAGGGACTAATAACTGGAAACCTAAGTGGAAATACTCTAGGACGGTAGTAACCTAAGTAACGAGGGGGGTTTTCACGAGCAATGATGATAAATGAACTAAGTAAGAACAACGAACGTAATGAATAGGTAATCAATGAGAAGAACGGTCTTGGTTATGCGAAATCCACTAATGAACATACAAATTGATCATAGAAGTCTCCTCAATCAAGCTCTATTGAACACCTTGTTGTAGAATTCCTAGATTCTAAATTCTCATAAATAGTTAGAAATAGCAAAGCGCTCCTTTCTAACCCTTTCCAATGCACAATTCAAGACAAGCGCTCTAAATTATCCACAAGAAGAAAATAAACGGAGAAATCAACAAGGATTGAATAAATTAACACAAGCGGTCTAATTTCTTCAATAATATTATTCCCTCTTCAAGTTATCAACCAAAAGCATGCATCAATAACCTAAAGTTGCTACTTTGGAAAGATTAATTAGATGCAAGCGAATCCAATAATTCTAACCTAGCAATTGATTAAAGCAAATCATGAAATTAATTCAAGGAACAATATATATTCAATAGATATTAAGAGAAGAAAGATCTCACAATTCGTAGCTAAAAGCTTCAATCTTTAACCAAGAATCCAGAAGATTAAGCTTCCATGGATTCTAATTCCAAAACAAAGAATTCTGAAAATTCCAAGAAAACCCTAGAAAGCTTTTTTTTTCTCCCAAACTTAATTCTCTTTTTTTCCCTCCTCTCTAAACTTAATTAAAACTAAGCTATTTATATGTTTCTATATTTTAATAACATAACACAATAATAATAATAAAATAATATCCAAACACGTGCCAAAACAAAGCCAAAATTGCTGAAAAAGAAGCCAAAAATTGCGCAAAAACTGAGATTGCCGCTGCCAGCTGCTCTGGACCCGCTGGCAGCGGCTCTGGCAGCCTTGGAAGCCTTCGTATGCTGGAATAGCAGCTGCCAGCGGCTCTGGCCAGCTGCCAGCTGCCCTGGCAGCAATTCACTACTGTTTTTTCCTTCTTCCTTGCTTTGAACCTTCTTCTAGCTTCTTCAAACTTGCTTTCTTGCCTCCTTGTGAATCAACAAGCCATGCTTCATACACTCTCAAATCATCATCCAAGGTCCGCCTACTCATAGTACTCTTCACTTCATTCCCGAGCTCAACTCACTCACTTTCACTCATAATTTCCCTCTTTTGCACATAAATGGGACGATGAGTCAAAACTCACAAAAGCTAACAAAAGTACATATAAAGCATCAAAACACACCCTAAAATGCTTCTCTCAACCCATGATAAGAAGGCTTATCAAATATCAATGGTCAGAACTTCATTTTGGGCAATTTGAAACATTGCCTTATCACAGTTGTAGGCGGCCATAGCTTTTGCTGCCTTTACCTCTTTGTTCTTCCGGTCAAGCGGCTTGCGAAGGCCGTTCACTCGGAGCAGGGCCTAAGTAAAAAGAAACATGCGTCAGTTTCCAAACAAAAAAGAAAACAGGCGTCCAGAAATTCAAATGCTCAAAAATATGCTAAGTATACCTCAGCAAGGACCCCTGCAATCCCGTCTAGGTCAAGGGTGCCGACACCCCTGACCGCCTCCCTTTCAGCTGGAGGAACTGCCCTGATCATAGACTTGGCCATCTCTACCAAGTCAGGCTCCTGAGGGCCGGCTGCATCAAGCATAAACAAACGGATTAGACCTAGTAAAAAAGGGAGCGAGTCTAAAATTTACAAGGACAACTTCATACTTCTAGGCGGCCCAGTTGGAGTTTTAGAAGAAGTGGCCGGCTGTTTCTCAGCCGCCACATGTTTCCTGGCAGAACCAGGAGAGCTCGCAACAGTCGTCCTCCGGGCCTTGGGGTCCGACTGTTGGGAAGATGAAGCTCTTGGAGCACCCGTCTAAAAAAGAAGACAAAAAAAAAAAAAAAAAGTCAGTATATGCATAAACACAACTCCAAAAGAGGGTGAAAGGTTCGGAGCTCACCAAGGGTGCCCCCTTCTTGGGGGAGTCGGTTGAAGCTTGTTGCATGATGGAGGCCCGCAACATGGCCGCCGCAGTCTTGGAGGCGGTGATTTTGCTCATGGCGTCAGCTGCAAAAACAAACAGCAAAGTTAATAAAAGTCATAACGAGAAATGTATGGAACAACAGAGTATTCGACAAGCCGACTACCTCTTGAGCACCGACTGCTGAGGCCATAGGCGGCCAAAAGGTACTCGTCGTAGAGCCATTTGAAGCTCGGGACGCAGTGCAGGGGTACTTGCTCTCGTACCCCTGAAGTAGAGTCGACCCTCGACTCTACTTTAAAGAGTCCTTTATCAAGGATCTCTTTCTTAGCCTTGGGGGGAACAGGCGGCATGCTACGACCGCCTGCAAGAAGGGGCGGATTCCTGTTCCACCTATTGAAGCGCTTCTTCAGCTCAGTGTCTGAACTCTCAATGATGAGGAAGGTGCTCCGCCAGTCCTTCCACTTGTTTGCTTTACCTCTCGTCATGAGGTAGCCCCTGTGGCTTGTCAATTGATACCAGCCGGTACCGCCTGCCTTAGGGGTCCGGCTGAGATAGTTCATATGGGCGAAAGCCTCGAAGCTTGGCTCCACCCCGTGCAGTTCGCACCCGGCCACATAGCCGAGTACGTTGACCCAGGAGTTTGGGGCTAACTGCCATAACCCCAACTCATACCCATCCAAGATCCGCTGAACAGCCGGATGTAATGGGAAGCGCAACCCTGCCTTGATGGCTGCCTCGTAGCAGCTAAAGCAGGCGCTATCTTAACTGGTACCAGCCGGCCAGACGACTGTGTCTTCAAGATCCGGCACAAACACTAGAAAGTCGGGGCCCATGGTGTGGTTTGCAATAAAGCTCTCCACTTTCTCTTGCATGGCTGTGATCCGGCCCCGAGGTACCGTGCAGTAGTAGGGGGTATTAGCTCTCGGTAAGAGGCGGATGGCTCCGCCCAATTGTCCCCCTTCTCAACTGCGTGAGAAAGTCTCGCCTCTTGCAGGCGGCTATTTTTCTCTTCTGTGTCCAAAGAAGCATGGCCAGAAGAGCTTGACTCGGAATCGTCCTCTGACGAGTCCGAAGAGGACGACTCCTCCCCTCTCCCGGAGGGGCCCGCCTCCTCTCTTTGAAAAGGAACAGAATTGTTAACTGTTAAATGGGAAGGGGTCACTATGACTCCTCCCTCAGAATTGCCGGCTTTCAGGCCGCCTTGTTTCACTTCCACATCTGGCGCCTGGTCAGATGTTTCACTAAGCGGCACCTTGTGGGAGGAGCCGTCTGAATTTGAGATCCTAGCAGTCTTTTTCGTTCTGGCCATCCTGCTCTGCATAGACACAGATATAGTCGGACTTTGTATAAAGGGCAAAGATGGGTCCGGAAAAGGGCAGGCGGCACTCCTAGTCCTAGATTCAGCCATCCCCAGTGACCGGCTGATCACTAACCTAGGTCGTGTCGTGTGCTTCCGTGGTGCCATTTCAAAAAAATAAAAAGAAAATTAAGAGTAAGAGAACCGACAGTTACCTGAACGAGTGACGATTGATGAAGTGCTGAAAATCCTGTGCAGTCGGCTTGTCAGAACAAGCGGTAGGCAGAAAAGGTCCAAAATGTCAGAGCAAGTTCAGGGGTCTGAATGTTCTCTCTCAAAGTTCTCAAGTGTGAAAATGACTCAAGACAATCCTCCCTTATATAGGCGAAGTGAGAAGGCGAAGGGTCACTTTCAGAATTCAAAATTTGGGCGG